AACGAGCTGTGTCGTTTTCAACGGGATTTGATGTGGCTTTACAGACCCTGCCGCCTCATTCGGCCTACTTTCTGACATTTGGCGTGACACCTACATGGCCCTCAATCGTCCCGATACTCGGATATGGGGCTAAGAGGCAATTGACAATACAATGAGTGCGTTTCCGCAAGGGACACACAATTTTACAGGCTTTGCAGACATGGTGGCGGGTTCAGCTTCAGCGCAACAAGCTGTGTCGTTTTCAACGGGATTTGTGTTGCTTTACAGACCCCGACATCAGGGGACATGCCCGTGGAAAGCCGTCCTTACGGTGCACATCAAAAGGTTGTCCAACAACCAATGCTGGCACAACCGGCGAGAGTGTCAAGTCATGAAGAAGGCTCAAGCTCGTCGCAGCATTCAAATCAGCCTATAGTTAGGCTCGGCACAGCATCATCAATTTCCTCGATTAATGAAATTTCAGAATGGAGCAGCCATCAAGACATATCCGAAGAGGGTGCGCAACAGTTCATGATCTCGCCGCCAGTTCTAACATCACCGGTTGCATCCCACAGCACTGCAACCACGGTTATGGCCTCTTCTCGACCACAACTCGCTGCTGGTCAGATTCATCGCGATACGCAATTTGCTCGGCAGCAACACCTTTAATATGGTACCCATTTTGTTCATGGTTTAGGCAAGGAAACGAGATTGGAAGATGAATATGAAGAGGCATGTCTATCAAAAATACATGTCCGAAAGGAAGGCCCCCCCAAAAATGGTCCGTCCTAAAGTACAATACTCATTCGATATTGAGAAGATGGAACAAATATTTGAATATTTGCTGAAGGAAAGGCAGCTTCAATTGAAGGATGGACATGAATTTCCATCCAAAAAAGAGTCAAATGGAAAAAGCTTTTGTAGATGGCATGGAATTTTCGGCCATACGGTTGGAAACTGTATCGTGTTTGGAAATTCGGTACAAAAGGCAATTAGAGAAGGATGATTACATTTTTCTGATCGGACATACATTAGAATAGATGCCAATTCTTTTTCCGCTTATGTAAACGCAGTTAGAATTCATCCAAAGAAAGGGCAGCAGTCGTATGGTTCACTGAAAGAAAAATTTCAGAAGCTGCCCTACCACACCGACCTTTCTCGAGCACTTAGGGAAGGCCTGTCATCCCCCATGTCAAAATCCTACATGGGACAGGTTAGCACCTTCGAACATTTCCGTTGAAGTAGACTTCGAGAAAAATGGTGAAATTTGGCGAATTTTGTCGGTAGATAAAGTTGTAATTACTCCATATCCAACTCGACGACCAGAAAGGGCGTCAATAGATGGGAGTTGGGCTGTAAATCAACATCTCTCAGAAAATACCAGCAGCTGAACCGATCGCAGAAAAGGCGTCGACAACAATGGCGCCAAGCAACAAGGTTGGTGAGCGAGCAAAGCTTGAAGCAAAATTCCAGCAAAATTCCAATGCGTCACTCACGAGCACTGCACCTGCAGGAGCACTACACAAGGATATTGGACAATATTTGAGTAAAGAGTGAGCTGGGTATGTAACCAGGACAATCCCCGAGCAATCTGTTCAGTTTGGAAATCTTCAGCATCGTTAAATAGCCGAAAAGAATGGAGGCTGAAGCAGCAGGGCAGCAATGCACAAATTGTTACGCATGACGCTGATTCACAGTTCGTCATTCACAGGAAAACAGTCCCTAATGACCCTCATTTGACTTTAAATGATCGCAGGGAATGGAGACCAACCCACCAAGCTGAAGCAAGCACTTCCCAAGCCACGACGAATAAAGACAAAGATAAAGCGCCAATAATTAAGTTCGATTCGGAGGAGCCCAAGGAAGAATAAATGGACGATATCTATGATGAAGATAATTTTTTTGAAGCAAGTTTTGATGTCATTGTTTCAGACGAGGATTTTCACGGTGCACTTCGATCCCAAAATAAACTTGCGATAAATGCTATCGGTTTTTTACACGCCAAATTTGCTACTCCTCAGTGATCAGCCCCAAACATTAGAATGAGATATTTGGGTAGAAAATATAGAGCCCTATTACGTGGATAACATAAGAAAATCAAAGAGAAATTACTTCATCTGAATCCATAATTTTTCAAAAACGGATGGAGAATGAAACACATCATTTAAAGCTTTTATTTCTCACAGTAGTGTTTGGTAAGCGTCGGATCAAAAAGGTGTTAGCTGATGCTGGTATATTAGTTAACATAATGACATTATCAACATTTCAAAAAATTGCGAGGAATTGAACAACTTACTACCGAATGGAATGCGCACTACTGACTTCCGGCAATGCGCACAAAGCCGGCAGGGTTTTGATTGCCAAAGTAGCTGTAGGATCATGGAAAGATTGAATGGCTTTCTTTGTCATCGAAGGAACAAATCTTTGCAATTGAACAACTTTGGTGACTATTATAATTATGGCATTGTTGCGACCTTTGCAACCTTTGCGGCTAAAAAAATCATGATATTGTGACAATGGTATTCACTGAAGAGAACCATAACAAAGCTGCAACTTTCATGATAATAATAGAACCTTTGTGGCTAAAATTAAAATAGTTACAGTGTTATTGCAATTCTCATGACTTAAAAACAAATTGTTGACAACTTTTATGATTAAAAATAGTCACACTATTGTTGTAGTGTTTGTTATTTATACGACCATGATAATGCCACAATCTCTGGGAACACACTAGGGTCACGAGATAATTGTTGCAACTTTGGTTGCTATATCTTGTGATTTATTGTCACCAAAATCATCCCATTCTGGAAAAGTCAATAGCGAACTGATGAGTACTCTAGTGCAACACATTAGGGTGTATTTGCTCAGGGTTTAGATTTTGGGTTGAGATTTGAATAGGAAAAAATTTGAATTGAAATAGTTGTATAATGTGATATAAATAAGTATTGATGTGATCTTTTGAATGTAATATTAATTTTTAGTATAATATATAAAATAATAATTAAGTGTTTGATTGGGTTTTTTTTAGGTAAAATTTTGTATGAAAATTATAAATTTTCCAATATTCTTCAAACAAACACACCCATTTCCATGAATTTGATTCGGAGACTTCCTCCACTATTGCACTTTATTGTCACGGAATGGAATGATACAATATATTTAAAATGAATTGAGGTATGCTTCACCTTATCTCCTAGAAAGAATTTATTATCACACTCCTTACTCAGTTGCAGTTTCTAGCTCTGCATAGGTGCCGTTCAACATTTTACATTTTCAAGTCATGGATTCGGATCGAGGACGGCCACTTTTCTTCAAAACACTATCATGTCTGTTATCAACAACATTGCAGGGTTTTTGTGGTAATTTTCACAAGTAATATACATGGTGAGATCATCATTGTCTTACTTTTACCAGATATGAAAACATTAACTGACCTTTAATTTAGAAAATATGCAGGGATAGTAAGAAAGTTCCTTTAAGCTTATAATGTCTTGTTAATTAACGTCTTTGGAGGTTCATGTGACTTGAAATGTAATTTAATCTCATTCTAATGGTGGGATACTATTATGTGATGAAAAATTCAAAACTAAATCGAAACCAAATAAGAAAACTTTTACCAACTGAAATGCGCTAGCATTTTCTAATGAGGTTTCTAGATTAGGGATCAAGTACTAAAAATATTGTTCAGCACTTATGGTGAAGACATAGAAGTTAATTATTTTAATTTATATAATTAATTTTATTATTTATATAATTATGATAAGTAATTTTGACGGAAAACATTCAGCATATGATCTTCATGGATGTTTCTGTGTATGCTTGTTTGGTACATAACGAACCATGTCAAAAATTCTTGAGAAACTGCCGTAAAAATGGTAGGTTGAGTTAACTAATATAACAAGAAGTTGTATGCCATTTCTTTATTATAAAAATACTTTCCAAACAAGATTTCTTGAACATTTCTGGAAAAAACAGTCTTCTATTCTCCAAAGACACCATTTCAGTTTAATATATCCTCATGCGCAGTACTTGAAATCTTCTATTGTTGCATATTTGCAGATCAGGTAATTTCAGATGTGTGAACGGTTTTTTTAATCAAGACTTGTTTTGGGTCGTAACTTTATCGATGATTCTTTCACCCAACAATCTCTATTCTAAAAATTTGTGACAGACTGTATGATTATGCATGCGTTTTCTTATGATTTTGGCGAAATTCTCTTTTTTCGTTAACCCAAATGCCCATTCCCTTGTGTTTCTTCAATTTACGATTTTCCCTTGCATCTGATTTGTGAGCAAAATTATTTTGAAGAGCAACTGGTTTTTGGGATTTTAACTTTCTTGCGCAACTAGTTACAAAATTCTGTGTTTCTATCTTAGTATGTGGTTTTGGATATTCGATTTCAAGGATCCAAGTAGATCTGAAAAGTCTTTGAATGGATTGGGAAATCGAATTTTCACTTTTGAACTACTATGAATTTTAGAAGGCAGTTATTGTGATAATCTGCAGAATTACATTGAATATTAGACGATTCGAAAAGCATAGGGTTACAGAATAGTTGAAAACAAGTTATTTTGAGGATTCATATGTTTATATAATTTTGCTTGTACATGAAAAGTAGTAGCAATTATGACGCCACAAATATTCTTGAATCGAAAATGCAGCTTATATGCATTATGGTATTTCCTGTTAGCCCTAGTTCGACTTATCCTAATTATACTCGAGGACATCCACTTTTGTAAATGAAGTCGTACAAGGGAAGTAAAACAGTAACTCGATGCTGCACAGCCTAAATCATATTACGGCACCACAATATTGTAGATCCAACATTTAATGCCTATTTTCCTCGAAGATTATTTCTGGACTATAATACATCAATTATGCAGTTAATATACTCTTTAACTTATCAAGTCTTATTTTCCTTTTCTCTCGTATGTGCACTTGTTTACTATGAGTGCAGTGTTTGAGGTGAAGAAAGAGGCAAATATGGAATGCAACAAGGATGAGCCCATAATAGCTAGAGATGGCAGAAAAGAAATTTCTCGAAAAGGACTTTCAAGGAGCCAACAGGATGGCTTCAAAGGCTCATAGCCTCTTTCCCGGACTGGATGGGCTGTCGCAGTTTTTTGAGATCATCCATATACACATCGCTAGCAGCCACAAGATACATGACGCTCCTGATTATTACGGCATATTGGGAGTTGATTCATCGGCTGATGATGATACACTGAGGAGACAGTACCGAAGAATGGCCCTCACCCTGCACCTGATAAGAACAAGTCAGTAGGGGCAGACGGTGCATTTTAGATACTGTCGGAGGCGTGGAGTGTACTGTCAGAAAAGGAGAGCAGAAATGCATATGATTTGAGGATCAGCATACTGCCTCGGAGCCAAAGTGGCAGTGTTGCTTCAACAAGTACACCGTATACAGCCTTTTCAACTTCTATTCGTCATGGACAAACTCCTCCATGGTCTACAGCAAGTCTGCAGTACGGCTTTCCTGCAGTACTGCTGATAAATCCACAATACATGAGCTAGGTGTGCCTTTCTCCCAGGGATTTTTTGCAGGATTTTTAAATCCAATTTTTCAAGGTAATAGAGCATACTATTACCAGAACCCGTCCCAAAGAAGTTGGAATTATGGATTCACTGCGGCCCCCTATCCAATGTATCCACTAGTGGGAATGCATAATCCAGTTCAAGCTCAAATGTCTTCAACAAGCGCAACTGCAGCCGAATTTTTTTCTTCACATTCAGCTGCTCATTATGGTAATGCTCCGAATACAGCCCAGTCGAGGTCGACTGCTAACCAGCAAAGACCAGATTCATTTTTTGAGTTCATGCAGTTGGTGTAAAACACATTATGTATACCGTAATGTGTACCTAAATGAATTTCTGGAGTGTCCTCAGCGCAAAAAGGTTTTCAGGGCAATGCAGGTTCCTGCTCCTAACATAAAAGCCCGAGGCTCACGCTATTGGAATCTCTATCGACACGCTGAGGATCTATCGACCTTCTTGAATCGTTGGAGAAGTGTGCCGTCATCAGTTCCTGAAAACTGCAGAGACATTCCTCCGAGGATCGTGGAACCAACTACATCTCCCAGTTCTGCATTCAGAAATCCATTAATGGAGGAACCGATGAAGAACCTTGATGGTGATTCCTCAACAAGTACAGAAGGAGCTGGAACGAAGCCTGGTCTTTGTAGCCTGGGGAAACCAGAGAGCCTCATAGGAGCAGATGTTCAGAAGGGAGAAAGTGTAACATTTCAGGCACCTTCTGTAAAAGTGAATGTCAATAATCCTGGCCCTGCGAAGAACAAACAACCAACGAAGTCCGATACCAAGGGACTATCCCATATGGAAGTAAAAATGGAGAGGAAGGAACTAGTACGCCAGTTCAAGAAATTGGACATAGAAAAAAATTCATTGAAGAAATTTCACACTGAAGATCCTGAGAAAAGGAGTGGTGGCACATTTTCTGATCTAAATGCGAAAGCTATTGATGTAGAAGCCTGTCTCGATGAAACTCTATCAATGTCTGTGCCTGATGCCAACTTCCACAATTTCGACAATGAAAGAGTGGAGAATTCCTTCTCAAACAATCAGGTTTGGGCTGCATATGGCGACGATGATGGTATGCCTCGATATTATGCCTTGGTTCATAACTTGATTTCAAGATCACCTTTTGAGCTCGAAATCTGTTGGTTGAAGTCGAAATCCACAACTGAGTTTGGATCATTTGAGTGGATTTCTTCTGGATTCACGAAGACCATTGGAAATTTCTGGGTAGGGAAATCAATAAAAATAAACAGGTTAAATTCACTCTCATCCAATGAGATGGAAAAAGGGTCCGAGAGGAGTGATCTATATCTTTCCAGCAAAAGGAGATGTTTGGGCAGTCTACAATAACTGGTCCTTCGAATGGAACTTCGACACTGAAAAGGATGTAATTCATAAATACGAAGTGGTGGAAGTGCTCCGAGATTACAGTGATGATCATGGAGTCTCGGTTATAGCCCTTGTGAAAGTGGCTGGATTCACAACTCTCTTCCGCCGAATGCCTGACCACAATGTGGTTTGGACAATTCCGAAGGAAGAGATGTTCAGATTCTCCCATCAGGTGCCGGTGTTTAAGTTGGATGGGATGAAAGACAAAGGTGCACCTGAGGGGTGCTATGAGCTCGACCCTGCAGCTCTACCACCAGAATTGCTCGAGATTATTACAGAAGCGGAAGCAACCGAGGCAACCACTCAGAGAGTTTCCGAGCATCGTGGTCATGCCAGAAGGATGGATCCAAAAATAACTGAGGTTTTTGGGAAGGGAAATTAAGGTTCCAAACTTCGTGAGACCTATTTTAGAAGAAAGAAAGGCAGGCAGGTCCAAGGTAAAAAAGACAGAATCTGTGAACAATCTCATGAATGAAACCTGTCTCTGACATATGTGCTTCTCTTTCTCATCACAACGATTATAGATAGAAGTACAACATTTTAATGTTCTTAGGAGAAAATTCATCGTTTATAGAATTGTTTGAAGTATCTGATTCTTACTTTAAATGTATGGATATATGATATATGTTAGAATTTTTTATCATGAATTAAAGAAAGTTAAAAATTAGGCATCGAAATTGTTTGATTTTACAGTACTTATACATTAAACATGTGCAAGAATACACTTATTTAATATAAAATATCTTGGCTCCCGAAAAATAAACTGAGGCCAATTAGATAGATACACATTTAAAGTCCAACAACTTGTGAAAAGAAATACGCACTTATCTTCAATAAAAGAAAAAAGACATATAAACCAAAAACGGCTTGGCCGGGAAAATAAAATATGGACCTGGGAAAATAAATACTAATGGAGACTAAAAGATAAGCTCACATATTTCTTTCATTATACTAAGATCACAAAACATATAAGATATGGTCAAAGCAATACATAGAGTAAGAAAATGAAAGTTTCAGAAGAAGTAATTAGCAGTCGATGAGGGAATTAAGCATGAATGATGGATTTGACAAAGTAGGCTCTGCCTCCTACATTATTTGTTGTTAAATAAGTCATTTCAAATTTTTCAAAAATTAAAAAGAAAGTGAATCAATCTTGGTGTTTTGGGCTGTTAAACTATCTGCTTTCTTTTTTTCGTTATATTTGATATATATATATATATATATATTTCCAATTTCATGCTTTTGCTGCCGCTGCTTTTAATTTTGGGAACTTTTACATATGTCCACCAATTTTATGCTTTCATAGTGCGGCTGGGCTTGCCTCATGCCACAGATCCTCCACTTAACGAATGTGGGCTTCATTTGACACAGTCAGACCTTGCTCGATGCTGGATCGACGTTGTTGGGCTAATTCAACACATTGAACATTTGTGTTTCGGTCAACAACTGATCCCTGGAACTTCGCTAGCGAGTCGAGCCTCAATTTTCCGTCATCACTTCCGCTTGGTTATGTAAGACCTCTTCGATCTGAGGTACTTCAGGGCAAGTTTTACAAATATATCTAAAATAAATAACAAAACCAATTTATAAATACATATAATATATTTGTCCTGTGTCCGTATAACAAAAGTGAGTTGTCTACGACATCGCCGCAAAGCACTTGTAAGACAACGTTTCCTATTGTCTATTTTTTAAATAAAGAAACACTGTTTTCTTTTTTTTTTTTTTCACAAAAATATCATATCCAAACTACCATCGACCAACCCCAGGGTGTGTATAAACGAAACTACCATCATACCTATCTATATAAATTAACTACAAAAGAACACATAGGGTCTGAAACTGTAATTAATTCTATTTTTCTATGTAAAAATCCTATTTACTATGACTTTATTTAAACAAAATTCTATGATATGTATGCATTTAATGGATACGTTGTTACGATATGCATTTCATGACAAACCGGATGTCTTCTCCGGTCTGTCATGCCACATCTAACAGATCATTGTGAATGATTGTGAATCCACATGGCATATCCTTTTATTACGACTATTTAGTAGTCGTAACTGTCTCTTATACAGTATTTCTTATTGAATAAATTTCTCATATTTGAATTGTGCTTTTAATTTTTTTCGAGTAAACTATTTTTTTCCCCGCACTTGACTATTTTATCGCTTTAGGACCATAATTAGGCACGGTATAGAATTACTTCGGTAACTAAACAATTTTGGCAAAATTTATCCTTAGGCGCCGTATATGCTTGCGTGGAAACATCATGGCACACTAAAACTTATGTGGACTACATGTGGGCACTAGCTGGACGACAAACAACCAATTTCTTTTAAAAAGAATTGGTTAAAATTGTAAATTTGCATGTTGGTCCCATTACCCAATTGGACCAAAATGAAATAATATTGATCCATCTTCTTCCAGAATCTTGTCCCCATTTCCACCAGCATTTCCCATCCTTCACTTCCCACCAGCCCTGCATTGTTAGTTTTTGCTCTTAAGTCAAATGTTTCTGTTAAATCTTATCCGTTGAGTGCAGCATTCCAAAACCTATGGCTATGACAGCTGTTGTCGCTCATAATATTTTTCGGAAGCTTCTCGGATTGAGCCTGCCCAGAATCGGGTGAGTTCTTCAGCTTCCTACAAAAAGGATCCGGAACCGTGTTCCCAACAGTAATTTCTCATAAACGAGAGAAAAATGGGATAAAGATAAAAAGAGAAGAAAATAAGAAAATAAAACGAAGTGATGGCAAAAAATTTAAGAAAGCAAAAGGAAGATAAAAGCAAGCAAAGACAGAAGAAGAAAGAAAGGAAACGGCTGCAAGGGGAAAAGTAATGGGAAAGAATAAATTGTATTAAATCTGAAAATAAAATAATGATGTATTCATTGTGTCCTTTTCTCTCTATGGACTATACATATATATATATATATGCGCTAAATCTCACCAAATATAATTCTATTTTATTCATATCTTATCATTATCAAATCTAGTTAGATATTATTTTATTTGGGTCGTGACTTGGGTTTGGGCTTTACTTGAGTTCAACAATTAGATTGTTCTCTTCCATAAAACGCAAGTAATATATATTTTTGGGATAACAACGACATTCCGGAATTTGATCACACAACAACACTACGATAAGCATTTATGACTAGTATTCTTGTAGTTTTTATTTATTGATTTTTTATTTTTTTTTTGGAATATAAACCCTTTTTTTTTCTTGAGAATATACAAGAGAATGACTAATAAAACATATTGTAGCAAGGACTAATCATATACATGGTTTAATTATATTTCTAAAATAAAGAGAAATGAAGTTAGGTGCGGAACCAAAAAAAAAATTATTTTTTTCACAAGTAATATGCTTTCATAAATAGAAATTTACTGTATGTAATCGGCTTTCGTAAAAAATATACCCTAGATGATGAACCAACACGAAACCACCGAAAAAAAAGGTATGACAACAAATATGATCAAAGCACGCAGTACAACACTAACACAAAAACACAATAAATCCAAATAAAGGCAACTTCACCAAATACATCAATCCAGATAAAGGTATAGTGTAAACACTGCTGATAATATTTTTGTTACTATTTTAGTAGCTACTAGTCGGGAGTCTCAAATTGTTGTTGTTGGGCAATATAAAACTCAAGAGAGGATGGAGGGATATTGGGTTTAATTGGAGGATGACCAGGTCCGGTTTCAGGTGATTTTCTGCCTAGCAAATATAAATGAGGATTGGTTATATATCAGAAAGACCCCAAACCTATTGAAGAGGATATAGCACCAATAATCAAGTGGAAGACTTAAATTCAATGTAACCAAACGAGACTGAAAGTGGTGGTTATGGAGGTTAGTAGATCAGGAATTGATTGAAGGGGATTACTGACGAAGGTTATCCAAGAAATAAATGAAATATATTAATTGTTTATAGTAGTTGGGAAATAAAAGAATAAAGAGAAGAGAGATGTTATCAATCATTAAGAAGTAAGTTGAGCTTCATAAGTGCAGTAAAAATGTTGATATATATTGTAATATATATCTATATTTATGGTGTTAAAATATATTGCAATATATATATCTATATTTATGGTAATATATCAATACGTGTATATATATATATATATATGACAATGTAATCCTAATTTTAGTTGAAAAATAATATTATTCCGTCAATTCCAACATGGTATCAGAGTCTAGGCTAGGCGGCGCATAACGGCGCGTACGGCGGCGGCTGCGGGAGTTTTTTTCGGCGTCTTGCTCGGAATTTGATTTTGTCTCTCATGGTATAATTTATTTTTCTGTTTGAGCACTATTTTGTGATCGTCTGTTCTTTTGGGTTTCGGATCCGATTCGATCCTCTGTACGTGCTTCTGTCGGCTAGTTTTGATCCTGTGATTTCGGCGTTAGATATTATTTGTGGTTGCTTATTTCTCTTTTCATATGGAAAAAGGGATGTCCATGTTCCGATTAATATTAATTTATCTGGGGATAATTATAATATATAGGCACAATCGATGAAAATTTTTTTTGATAGGTATGAAGTTATGGCGGGTTATTACAGGGGATATAGTTGCTCCTATTGCTCCGGTCACTATAGTAGAAGTTACGCCTACCGCTAAAGCTGTTGAATCATATATTGAAAGATTGGAGGATTGGAACAGTAAGAACCATTAGATTCTTACCTAGTTGCGCAACACTTCCACTCCGACGATACATGTGCAAGTGGTTTGGCCATTAGATAATTAAAAATAAAATGAATGAACAGTTCTACCATATAGTATATTCAAACATAACATAATCATATATCATTTTTTCCTCTTAAAGAAAAATAATAATTGAAATAAATTATAGAGTATTCAATTTCAGTATTACAATAATGTGCTAAAAAATTGCAACTATGTAATTATTAAATGGGCCCTTAGTTACTCCACATGTACATGTTATTTTTTTTATTTTTTGGTTGAAATTTGTAAATTGTAGAAATCCCATTAAGTTGAAACTATGAATTTAGACATCATTTACACTTGTTTGCACATTTAAGTCAAACTTGTGGTAATTTTATTATCGCTCAACATATATGACATTATTATTAGTATTATTAATAAATCGAGTATCAAATATACCTAGCATATATGTTTACACTTCTATGAAGGTTTTATAGATCCTATTCAATTGTTGGTACTTAGAATTTACTAGATGCAAATAATCAGTTTTTTCCTACACTATCAACAATTTGATTCCAATTTCTCTTGTTAATAAATAGCAAAGTTGTATTCAATCATTACAATTTATATAGATGCATGAAAAACTTTGCGATTTTTTCTTGTATTCAATCATTACAATTTTCATACATTAGTTATGCAGT